ACATCGGGGAATAGAAATTGTATGACGGGCCATGAACGCTCACAAAATAGGGGTTGGAGTCCAGGAGGGAGTGAGGGTTCTGATTGGGGTTGTGGACTCTGAGGTGGGGCTGGAGATGAGGAGTTTGGGGTGTAGGAGGGTGCTCTGGGCTGGGATCGAGGGTGTTTGGAGAGTGGGAGGGATCAGGGCAGGGGCATGGGGAGAGGCTCAGGGGTGCAGGCTCTGAGCAGCGCTTACCTCAAGTGTTTCCCAGAAGCAGTAGCATGTCCCTTCTCCAGCTCCTATGCGGAGGCGTGGCCAGGTGGCTCTGCACACTGCCCCATCCGCAGGCACCGCCCCTGCAGCTCCCATTGGAGCACCGGAGAGGGCCATTGGAGCACATAGGAGCTGGAGTGGGACCATGCCACGGCTTCCGGGAGCAGCATGATGCGCCCCCCTCAACCCAGTGCCCCGGGTGGAGCACCGGAGTGGGGCTGAGCCGTGTGGTGCAGCCCCTCCCTGATCCAGTACCGCGGCTGGAGTGGGGCCGAGCTGCGTGGTGTGGCCCCTCCCTAACCCTGCACGCCGGCTGGAGCACAGGAGCAGGGCCGAGCCGCGTGATGTGACCCCCAACCCAGTGCCCTGGCTGGAATGCCGGAGCGGGGCAAGCTCCAGACCCTGCTCCTCAGTGGGAGCTTGCGGGCTGGCTAGTTTGCCCACCCCGGACTAGTAACTTCTGGCCTTAAAACCTATGGATTCACATTGGTCTTTTACAGAAGTAGTTATGCAATGGAATTGCATTTGTATCACAACTATGCTTTGAGAGCCAGTTTCTAAGAGGAAAAATGTTTAAATCGTTTTTAAGATGTGAAAAAAATCACATTCAAGAGAGACTTTTGGTGGACCACATGTGTCTCCTGGACACATTTTATAAGGATGCAATCACAATAGATTCATTGCAGTGCTCAAGTACTGCTGGAACACTCCAGAACACTGTTCCACAACTTTTTTGGGTTGATGGAATGGAATCATGCAGCACTTCCAGTACTTGTTTTCTGGCACTTGGAACCCTCTGTATCAGTAAGAAATGCCTCAAAGAAAACAACACACTAAAAGCTACAATTAGTGTCTGATGAGAAGCAGAAAATAAGTTAATCAAAAGGCATCCAGAATTAACAGAAACTTGTTACTTAACTTAGCATTTATTATTCTACAAATAGAATATTCTGCAGTCGATTTTTAAACACTTCTAAAATGCAAATTTAAATTATCTAAACGTGAACATCAAATTAGTGCCAACAGTTGCTAATTGAAGTCCAGTTTGGCTATTAAACTCTACAAAGAAACTCAGAGCAACAAAACAAAATGTGAGTTAAAAGAGAAAGATGTTTGGGTTTTCTAATCAAGAGCTTTCATAACCAGAAAGTTCAAAAGTCCATGTAAGTAATGTAACCTTTCTGGAGGTAACTATAAAGCAGATTACAACTGTTCATTACAGGATGCACTTGGGAATGGAGAAATTTAGAAAATTCCAAAATAAAGAGAGACTAGAATATTTGAACACAAACTCTTTGTAGTCAGACAGTTGAACCTCTCCAATTCAACATTGCTATCACCAATGTGTTAATTTCATACAATAACTAGGGAGCACAAGATAGTACCACAGTGTAGTCAGTGCTTTCTGCAACAGGACAATTTTTAGCGCTTTTCTGTCGGTAAAGTGAGGTGAAGAGAGTTAGTGACTATGCTGATTTGGGGTCTGCTTCAAAGCCCACTGAAGTAATTGGAAGGTTTACCTTTGTCTTCAGTGGGCTTTGGATCATGCCTTTTCAGCCGCAGATCTGAAATTGCTTTAGAAGATGGAGAGGCCGAGGCACAGACAGGTGACATGACTTGCCCAAGGTCACCCAGCAGGCCACTGGCAGAGCCAGGAACAGAACCCAGGCCTTCCAAACCCCAGTCCAGTGCTCTATGCACTAGGCCTTACCGCCTATACACTGACATCCTAGCTAAATAAAACACAGGCCTAGAAATCAGGTGACCAGAGATCTGTTACTTCCTGAGTGATCTTTGACAAGTCATTTATGCAAAAACTGTCAGACTTGCGTGCCTTTGTGATGCATCTAAATCCATAGTTAGGCATTTACATAATTGGTGCTTAATCTCATAGATGAGTTGATTTCCATTAGTAAACTTATTTAGGTGCTTAAAATGTGGATCTAGGACAGGGGTGGGTAAACTACGGCCCGTGGGCTCCCTGCCTGCCCTGGCCCCCCCTGCCCTGGCATCACGTCCCTGCGGCCCCTGGAGGAGGCAGGAGTGAGGGCTCTGCGCGCTGCCCTTACCTGCAGGCACCACCCACCACAGCTCCCATTGGCCAGGAATGGGGAACCGGGGCCAATGGGAGCTTCGGGGGAGGTACCCACAGGCAAGGGCAGTGCACGGAGCCCTCTGCCTCCCGGGGCCGCAGGGACATGCTGCCAGCCGCTTCCGGGAGCGGCACAGGGCCAGGACAGGCAGGGAGCCTGCCTTAGCCCCGCTGCGTGCTACTACCACCCCGGAGCCGCTCAAGGTAAGTGATGCCAGGACGCAGCCCGAACCCCAAGCCCTTCCTGCACCCCAACCCCCTGCCTTGAACCACCTGCCACACCCTGCACATCCTACACCCCAACCCCCTGCCGTACCCCGCATCCCTCCCTGCACTCCAACCCTCTTCCCTGAGGCCCCTGCTGCACCCTGCACCCATCCTGCATTCCAACCCTCTGCCCTGAGCCCTCTGCCCCACCCCCCCCGCCCTGAGCCCCCTCGTACACCTCACACCCGTCCTGCACCCCAATCCCTTGCCCTGAGCCCCTTCCTGCACACCACACTCCCTCCCGCATCCCAACCTCCTACCCCAGCCCTACACTCATGGCCTTGCATGCAATTTCCCACCCAGATGTGGCCCTCGAGGCTTAATTTAAGGCACCCAAGTTTGTAAGTTTTGGGTTACATATTTGTGCCATAGTTTTCTTTTACTAAGAAAGTGACTTAATCACAGTCCATACTAAGACGAGGACCTAACCCCTGAGTAGAGAAGCGAGCTCAAGACTCCTAGGGCCTGAACCACTGAAGCCAATGCAAAGATTTCCATTTACTTCAGTGGGCTGTGGATCAGTCCCCTAAGGCATAAGGAAGTCAAAACCCAAAATATAACTCTATATAATTGGCTTGCTTACAGTAAGCAAGACAATTGGTTGCTTTTAGCAACAACATGAAGTAAAACCTACACTGTGACTGAAAGTTAACAGCGCACACATAGCCACAGTCTGCTCAGTTCATCTTTCCAGCTCCAATATATTTAGAAATTGAAAACTGAGTATGCTTCTTGGTTTAACAGGAGTCTCCAAATGTGGACATTTAGCAGGTCATAAATGTGAGGAAGTAGAGCTCAACTGCTTCACTTCCAACAAGAAATCAGGGTAAAACTGGAGCGAAAGAGAAATTTGCCAGTAAGCCTCATCTGATGCATTTCTGACTTCTGATTGCTAAGCTTCACATTGCAAAACCAGGCCACACCCCTGTGAATAAGATCTCTAATACCTACTATCATTTACAGTGGGAATAGAGTATACGCTATTTGCTAACCAAGCCATGGCTTAGGTGTGATTTCTTAACATTTAGCTTGAAAGAACTGCATCAGCCACACATATGCACAAGGATTTCTTCTTCTAAGACTGTGAAATGCACATTTTTGGCGCCAGAAAGAGACTAGCGTATCTAAACTGAGGGTCTCCTCATGCCATCCTGTAAAGGAGTTCTCTTTAAAATTTACAAAGTATTTTAATAAGCAGAAATTTATTTATTGTATTAGGCAGTGACTAGTAGGAATAATTACAGAAAGTACAAATAAGTGATTCACTTTACAAAATTATCAGAACAGGTATATTACTTATATTGCGGTAGAACCGAAAATTTATTAGGTGCTTTACAATCAGAGGAAAATTATTTCCCTGCCCCACAGAATGTACAATTTAAAAAAGACAAAGACTAGTGAAAAGGAATAACACATACATGCACAGTGATCGAGGTGATAATAGACATGTCTTATTAGTTAGAAATTTAGCTGTGTGTGATTTTAATTGTTAGGCTCACTAAATTCTCCTTCCCAATCCCACAACATATTGCTTTATTCTCCCCTTTGCTTCCCTCCTTCCCCCCCCCCCCAGATTCAATTCTACTGTCTTTATAATCTTCCCTTCACATATATTAACAGTTCTCGTAGGAAAAAATAAATAAAATATGCCCCATTGACTTTCTCTGACTTCAAAAAGGGCTGCTCACATGAGGAAAGTTATGCATCTGCTGAAGTGTTTAGAGAATAAGCTCTAAAACTGCTTAATCAGCTAGTCTGTTTCTTGATAAGCATTATGTATCAGCACAAGGAAGGATACTTTTTACAAAAATATATCTTTAAGAAAATTTCAGAGGTAGCCATTAAGAATTTCAAAATGTAAATAACAATTTTACTAACAAAGATAATGAAATGTTTAGATGTGGGAGTTATTCCGCCAGGCCAAAAGTCTTTCACAACTAAAAAGAAACAAAGATTTTGCACTGAATTTGTCAAATAATTAAAAAAATAAAAATAAAAGCACTTTTGATGACCAGGGACTTTTTCCTGCTACATAAAGAGTTAATAGCAGACTGCTCCACCATTCTGAGTATTTGCATGCCTCTGAGGTATATTTCCTGCAGACACATTATCTGATTAAAGAAAGGCAAACTGAATTGAAACCATTCTTTCTTTTAAGTCCAGCCTCTTCTTCCTGTGATGTCACATTACAAATTGACTGAGCTCTTCCCCCCACCCCCCTTCAGAATAAGCAAGGCAAAAGATTTATACGATCTGAAGAGAAACCAGAGTACACACTCAGCATCTGAGGAGGAGATCTAAATTCAACAAGAACAAACACGCTTTGGAATTGTATTTCTGAATTTCTAAGCAGCCTGCTTTCCGCCCTGTGGGGGTTAGCATGCAGGCAAGTTGAAAAGCTTGTTTTACTGCAAGGCGGCAGTGAAAGAGGTGGAAACTCCTACATCTTACAGAGCCCAGGAAATCTTTTCCTAAGGAATCTCAGTTACACATTCCCAGTTAAACAACTTTGGAAAATCTGCATTTAAAGTACTTCTCTACTTTTTGACTTGCAGTTGAACATAAAGCAGCAAGTTCTGTATCAGCTTCATTAACAACTGGGAAAACAAGAACGTGGAATTAAATGCAAGGATGACCTCATCTGTTGCCTATAAGACTATGTTTATTATCGCCCAGGACTGGATGTGTGACTACTGTGGAATTTGGAAGAAAAGAATGATCTCCTGCTGATTCCCAGAGCAGTATCTTCCTACTGCAACATTCATGTTTCAACGTGGAAGTTTTAAAGTAAAATGGGAAACTTATGAAATCACTCACAGACCAAATTCATCTGCAAGCTACCCAGAGATTTTAAAGCAGTTACGGCAGAAGGGCTGCTAACAACAAAAGGAATTCAACATTGTAAATTTAAATTGCCATTATAATGGAAAGCTCTAATTGCTCCACTGAGGACTCCTTTAAGTATATTTTATATGGATGTACGTTTAGCATGGTGTTTGTCCTTGGTCTAATCTCAAATTGCGTTGCTATTTACATTTTTACATTCACATTGAAAATGCGAAATGAAACAACAACTTACATGCTTAATTTAGCGATATCTGATCTGCTTTTTGTATTTACATTACCCTTCAGGATTTATTACTTTACAATAAGAAACTGGCCATTTGGAGATATATTTTGCAAGATCTCTGTCACCTTGTTTCATACAAACATGTATGGAAGCATTTTCTTCTTGACTTGTATAAGCGTAGATCGCTTTTTAGCCATAGTGCACCCATTTTGGTCTAAAACTCTTAGAACCAAAAGAAATGCAAAAATCGTCTGTGTTGCAGTATGGATAACTGTACTAGCAGGAAGCATGCCAGCAAGCTTTTTTCAGTCTACTAGCATCCAAAATAAAACTGGACAAAACCAAAACACATGTTTTGAAAACTTTTCTAAGGATACATGGCAAACCTATATATTAAGGATTGTTATCTTCATTGAAATTGTGGGATTTTTTATTCCACTGATCTTAAATGTGACCTGTTCTACGATGGTTTTAAGGACTTTGAATAAACCAGGTACATTAAGTCGGAACAAGTTAAGCAAAAAAAAGGTACTCAAAATGATTTTTGTCCATTTGGTGATATTCTGTTTCTGTTTTGTGCCATATAACGTTACCCTAATACTTTATTCTCTTATGAGAACACAACCATGGACTAATTGTTCATTAGTAACTGCTATCAGGACTATGTATCCTATCACTCTATGCATTGCAGTTTCAAATTGTTGTTTTGACCCTATAGTATACTATTTTACATCAGACACTATCCAAAACTCAATAAAAAAGAACAGATCAGCTAGAAGACGCAATTCCAGATTCTCTGAAATTCAAATTACTGAAAATTTTATTCAACACAGCCTCCAGACTTTAAAAGCTAAAATATTTGACAATGAATCTACAATATAAATGGAGAGAAAATACTGGGACTGAAATGCACCTTTCTTCAGCTGTGAAAATGTTTTCTTGTACACTGAATAAACTTCCTTCACTTAAAAAACTGTTTATATAATGATTAAAAATAGGAAAAAGTTAAATGTCACTTGTAAACATACTTCATAGAAAAATGTAATTATTGCAAGAATTACAAATATCTTTATAGTTGTCAGTTTTCTCTTCTGCCTTTGTCACAGATTCCATGACCTGTTTGTCCCTGCTGTGTCTCCTTACAATTTTGAACCACACAAAAACAGATATTTGGAAACCGAAGTTGATACCAACAAGGCCCAAAAGTGTTTTACAATTCAACATATTATGAAGTTAGAAGACTAGGTCTTCACATTGTTTTGTTAACAGGTTAAAACACTTTAAATAAAAAATTAAATTGTGAAGACATTATTTTAGGCTGCAACTATTTTGTTTACATGCGGATTTCTTAATGTCTGGATTCTTCAAAGCATTGATCAAGTTATTGCAACTCTGGTGTCAGTTCCACAGGTTCCACACCCACCATCTTTTGTAGGATTGGTTTACAAAAGTTAAGCTATTCCTTTGTAAAAATAAATTTATAGATGGATTAAAAAGTACGTAAAGTTACTGAAACAAGATTTGTCAGTTATTTAGATAAAAATATTGCTGACAAAACCAACTCAAAACTGTTCCTAAGAAACTACAGCAAATACGACTAAAACAAAGACTAAAATCTTTAAATAAGTGTTCTGTTTGGGTTGTGTAATTTAACTTCAAAAGTGCTTCTTTGCTATTGAAAAAAAATCGAGTATTCCTCACATGAACAAAGATATCCTAGGTGACATATTAAATATTATTTTCCAAGAAGACAAGAAATAGCAGTTAGCTGTTTATTGTAAAGTACCCTCTCCTAGATGTTCTGTATGTCACATAAGCACCATAATTTTGATGTCTAGGTTTTTAAATGTGAGCTTCTTATACATTTAGAGATAATAAAAATATTTATTTATTTGAGATGCCTGAAAACTGCTGCAATAAATCCAGGAATTTTTAAGAATTAAGAGCTTATCTGAAGCAAGATGCAACTTTGTTTAAAAGTGCCATGTGTTTCATACATTCTTCAGAAGCTGGAGTATTGTGCATATCTTGCTCAGAATTTGTTTACCTTTACTGTAAAATAATAAATATTTAAAAAGTTAAAGAAGAGTCAACTGGTGGTTTCTCCCAAAGATGATAAAGTCTGGAATAAAAACTGAACTAAAGTATACTTGTGTTCTGGATTTCTCTGTTCAGTTATAATATGTATATATGTTACTAGCAATTCAAGCACTCTTACTTCTGGGCAATCTGAGGAAGGCTGAGTTCATGTTACAGAAAGCGTGTACTGCACTTGCATTTTGATGTTCAAGTATATCATCCAATTGTGTCTATCACTAAGTTTTATTCAAATTTCATTTTAGGTTAGAAATACATATTGGTTATGGTTATTGAAAATGTACATTTGTGCTACTTAAAGAGCTTACCTTAGCAGAATTTGATTCTGAACGACTTTGGCAGCCTAACCATACACCAATATTACTATCCCACAGTCATATAGAAAGGAAAACCCAAGGTATCACAAACTGAAGTATATACTACAAATGTGGTATAGAATTCAGTGGATAATGGCCTGGGTAATCCTCCATGATGACAGGAAAGCTTGAATGCATTCTCACAAGAAAAGTTTGCCATAAACATAAATGCTAAGGGTGAGTTTATAAAATGAAATGGGGGATCCAGAGAAAAATAAAAGAGAAATACATATACAATCGGAACTAGTATGTCATCATTGACATTAACTCTAACTCCTAAAAAGCACAGTATAACATGCAGTTTCATAGTAAATTCTTATTTACAGCGGAGTTTGACTCTGCAAAACAAAATTTTAAAACTTGTGCCTTACAGTACAGGAACGGTGTACATCCAGGGCTATAAAAAGATCTCAGCGGGCAACCTTGAAATTTTTCTTTGGTTCATACCAGACTTTAGAAAAAAATAAAACCCAGAAAGTTATTGGAATATATCTGTTTGCAGTGTTATAGCCGTGATGGTCCCAGGATATGAGAGAGACAAGGTGGGTGAAACAGTAACTTTTACTCGGCCAACTTATATTGACCAACAGAAGCTGGTCCAGTAAAAGATATTACCTCACCCACCCCCCTTGTTTTAGAAATGCATCCAACAGTTTTACACATGCTATTCAGATTAATAAAGTCACTGACAAATCTGTGCAGTTAAAACTAGTAATACATCTTGATTCATTGCAGCGATTCAAAGAGCTTTTTAACCTAATGATATAATATTGGCACCTATAAAATAGCATTTAAAAAGTATAATTTAACTGAAATTTATAATCAGTTATACTTATGAAGAACAATAATCTAAATCGCTTATTTCACTTTAGCCTGTAAACTCACTTTTTTTTTAGTTGTTCTAAGTTATTTTACATAACTGTTTGCCTACTAGCAGATGCACGGATAACTTTCGAAGTTAGTTCCTCACTGTACAAGCACACACAAAAAGAACAAGATCGAGCAGTAAAATTTAAAATTACTTGTTAGTGCAGTAGCTTTGTTACATTGTTTCATTGAAAGGCCTTTAATTTTGTCTTTTTCTTGCTCTCCTCACAAGATGCTTAGAATGATGTTCTGAGAGTCTCATTATTGGTGTGTGCATATGTGCACACCCTCACCAGCCTGTCATCAGCCCCCATCCTTCTACCAACAGAAAATGATGGCCTAGGTTCTCAGCTAGGCAAAGCTACTCAATTAACTGGAAAGTTAATTGTGGCATGACACCCCTATATCATAGAAGTTAAGCACAATGAACCCACCCCCAATTCCTCCCAGAATGTGGTAGGGTGACATGGGGTAGCTTTTTTGAAGTTTACATAAATACAGAATCACTGGCCCGGAGGCCAGAACAGGCTGAAGAGATAAAATTGCACACAAGGGAACTGCCTTTTAAAACAGACTTTCCAACGTATCATTTAAAAAAACAAAGCCAAACACTAAGGGTGTATCTACACTGCAATCAGAAGTGTGACTGCAGCATTTGTGGACATACCCAAGCTAGCTTTGATTTGGCTAGCTCAAATAACAATAGCAGTGAAGCAATGGCAGCACTAGTTGCACAACCCTGCCCAGGACCCAAGGTCTGTACTCCAGGTACCATGAGCTGTACAACTCCACCCAGGACTCTAAGTATATACAGGAGCAGCTAGCAACTGAGGCTTCACTGCTATTATCCAAGTTAGCTGGATCTAAGAGTACCTCAGTCACATCCCTGATTGCAGGGTACACATACGCTAACTGTAGCTCCTCCCACATTGTACTCTCAGGATTTTCACTGCAAGATGGTCTAAGCCAGCCTCTCTCAAATGTGGCCACCAGCAGATTTTTCTGAAGCCACAACAGCCTCCTGGCCCAGGAGTCCTGGGTGGAAATGGCTGGAAAGGAACAGCAGCCCCTCCCTGCAGTGACCAGCTGTTGCTCCTGGATGAGCTGCCTTGGTGTTTGCTGGTGTCGCCCACAGGGGATCGGTGCCCTGCACTGCACAGCCTCCTGCAGGCTCCGGGCAGTGCCTCTGCAGACACATGGGGCTGGTGTGCACAGCACAGGAAGAAACTTGGACTCCACAGGCAGCTGGTGATTCCCGACCCACCTTCTCAGGGGTGGTGAGCCTTTGGGGCTTCAGCCGCAGGGCTCCACTTGTAGGTGTAGGGATCTGGCTCTGGGCTTCAACCCCAGGGCATCGGAGCTTCAGCAGGACCAGCCTTATAGGTGAGCTGTGGTCAAGAATCAAGGAGTGTGGTGGGCCTGGGGTGTGAGGCCATGGAAGGTAGCTCAGGGCAATGGGGGAGGGAGCGAGGGGAAAGAAGCAGAGCCCAGCAGCAATAGGGGGGTGGGGAGCCCGGTGAGGCAGTGGGGAATGGGGGAGGCAGCAGGGGCCAGTGGGGATGTTTCTGTTGTGTTTAGGTCCAGTAAAGAATAAAGACAACTGTATATTATTTTTATTATTGAGTCTGCAAAAAAACCCTACATAAATAAATTACAATTTGGATGTGTATATGTGCATATTTGGCTTTTTCTAAAAAATAATTATTTTAGAATTGCTGGCCACACTCTGAGGCCACCAAAAAATTTGCTGCAAGAGCCGCAGGTTTAAGCACAGGACTAGGAGCTCTTGAGTTCCAATCCTAACCTTGGCACCATCTCCCCTCTGTGTCCCTGAGGCAAGATTCTTAGGCCAAAAGTTTTAAACCAGTGTGCATAAAAAGTTCGCTTACTAAAATCATGCTTAGGCACCTAAATAAAGTTACCTGATTTTCAGAAGTGCTAAGCATCTGCAGCTCAGCAATTTTTAAAATTTAGACACCTAAGCACAGATTTAGGCCATGTCTACCCTACCAAGCTTACAGTCACTTTAACTTCATAGCAATGCCTTTATTTGATTGTCTTAAAAATCTGCGTATGGGACTAAAAACAAGAAAATATTCATTTTTGTTACCTGTGCTTCACAATGGCAAGAAAATCTTTAGCTCTGGCCAGAATTTAAACTTTTAGAAAATATTAATATTAGACGCCAGTCATTTCGCAAGGAAGAGATGTTCGCTTTCCAGGTATTGTAAGAATGAGTAATAAAGACAGTATTGCGTGTGTATAGATATAGATAAAGTATATATTATTTAGATCTCAGATGAGGCAAATTCTACCGTCAGCAGAGGTAACATCTCAAACACAGCCAGAATAAGTGCAGATTTATAGGTACGTTGGCCAAAGTTTTCTAAAATAGGAGCCTCACGTTAGGCTCTTAAGTCCATATTTAGGCACCTATAAGGGGGATTGCCAAAAGTTCCTATTTTGGAAAACGTTGCCATTGCTTTTCAAGGGTCTGCAGGATCACTTTTATAGTTTAATGAATTCCAAACCTCACAGCGGCCAAAATGTAGCAGAGAAGAATAGAGGAAGTTGCTCATATGCAGCCTTAACTTGTTAAAGTGGTGTCGTTATGGTCAGATTTGTGAATAAAAGCAATAGTTAGCTAAGACACCTTCTTCCTGGGCTAATTCAGAGTCAGATGCTTTCTCTAGTGACAAAAGTAAGTTTTAAATTACTTTCCTCCTAGGAGTACTGCACAGCCAAAAAGCTAAGAGAAGGTACTAGACACTAATCTGGCTCATACATCAAACTAACATTCATTGAATGAAGAATGTTTTTGAGTGATTATTTGTGATCCAGAGATAAATCAACTTGACTTTCAGATTCCAGGCTGAATTTGCAGGACAGGGAGTTAGAAAAACATTTTTATTTGTAAACAAACAAGCTTATATGGACGAATTAAAAGGCAATAAATATAGAAGCTCAAAAAGGCATTTTAACAGTTATTTTTCAATGCTGAAAAAGCACTTTAAAAGTTAAAACAAGGTTTATACTCTTGGCCTGTTTTTTACTTGTGACCAAAACCTGCATATTGGCTATTTTGGGATTTTCAAAAGCACCTAAGTGATTTCGGAGCAAAACCCCAGCAAAACTCAATAAGACATTTGTGCCTATGTTGCTTTTGAAAATCCCACCATATTGTATTAAC